CAAACTTTTGGTGATCCTCCACATAAAATCGTACACAGACCTCATCTTAATCTTCCAGCTTTAACACAGGAAGGGAAAATTCTTCAATCCAACGCTTACAAAATTTTCTGAACAACTAATGTACCCACCAGGTTTCGAACCTGGGACCTTCCGCGTGTTAGGCGGATGTGATAACCACTACACCATGGGTACACAAGAGCGATGACATTTTCCCTACCTGGTTCAAGTGAAATTGAATTCCTGCAAAAGATTCTCTGAAAGTCTCACAGAATGCGAGTTAAATAAAAAATGTTCCAAACTTTTGGTGATCCTCCACATAAAATCGTACACAGACCTCATCTTAATCTTCCAGCTTTAACACAGGAAGGGAAAATTCTTCAATCCAACGCTTACAAAATTTTCTGAAAAATAATGTACCCACCAGGTTTCGAACCTGGGACCTTCCGCGTGTTAGGCGGATGTGATAACCACTACACCATGGGTACACAAGAGCGATGACATTTTCCCTACCTGGTTCAAGTGAAATTGAATTCCTGCAAAGATTCTCTAAAAGTCTCAGAAGATGCGAGTTAAATAAAAAAATGTTCCAAACTTTTGGTGATCCTCCACATAACATCGTACACAGACGTCATCTTAATCTTCCAGCTTTAACACAGGAAGGGAAAATTCTTCAATCCAACGCTTACAAAATTTTCTGAACAAATAATGTACCCACCAGGTTTCGAACCTGGGACCTTCCGCGTGTTAGGCGGATGTGATAACCACTACACCATGGGTACACAAGAGCGATGAATTTTCTCTACCTGGTTCAAGTGAAATTGAATTCCTGCAAAAGATTCTCTGAAAGTCTTACAGAATGCGAGTTAAATAAAAAAATGTTCCAAACTTTTGGTGATCCTCCACATAACATCGTACACAGACCTCATCTTAATCTTCCAGCTTTAACACAGGAAGGGAAAATTCTTCAATCCAACGCTTACAAAATTTTCTGAAAAACTAATGTACCCACCAGGTTTCGAACCTGGGAACATTCACGTGTTAGGTGGATGTGATAACCACTACACCATGGGTACACAAGAGCGATGACATTTTCCCTACCTGGTTCAAGTGAAATTGAATTCCTGCAAAAGATTCTCTGAAAGTCTCACAGAATGCGAGTTAAATAAAAAAAAATGTTCCAAACTTTTGGTGATCCTCCACATAAAATCGTACACAGACCTCATCTTAATCTTCCAGCTTTAACACAGGAAGGGAAAATTCTTCAATCCAACGCTTACAAAATTTTCTGAAAAACTAATGTACCCACCAGGTTTCGAACCTGGGACCTTCCGCGTGTTAGGCGGATGTGATAACCACTACACCATGGGTACACAAAGCGATGACATTTTCCCTACCTGGTTCAAGTGAAATTGAATTCCTGCAAAAGATTCTCTGAAAGTCTCACAGAATGCGAGTTAAATAAAAAAATGTTCCAAACTTTTGGTGATCCTCCACATAAAATCGTACACAGACCTCATCTTAATCTTCCAGCTTTAACACAGGAAGGGAAAATTCTTCAATCCAACGCTTACAAAATTTTCTGAAAAACTAATGTACCCAACAGGTTTCGAACCTGGGAACATTCATGTGTTAGGCGGATGTGATAACCACTACACCATGGGTACACAAGAGCGATGACATTTTCCCTACCTGGTTCAAGTGAAATTGAATTCCTGCAAAAGATTCTCTGAAAGTCTCACAGAATGCGAGTTAAATAAAAAAATGTTCCAAACTTTTGGTGATCCTCCACATAAAATCGTACACAGACCTCATCTTAATCTTCCAGCTTTAACACAGGAAGGGAAAATTCTTCAATCCAACGCTTACAAAATTTTCTGAAAAAACTAATGTACCCACCAGGTTTCGAACCTGGGACCTTCCGCGTGTTAGGCGGATGTGATAACCACTACACCATGGGTACACAAGAGCGATGACATTTTCCCTACCTGGTTCAAGTGAAATTGAAATCCAGCAAAAGATTTTCTGAAACTCTCACAGAATGCGAGTTAAGTAAAAAAATGTTCCAAACTTTTGGTGATCCTCCACATAAACTCGTACACAGACCTCATCTTAATCTTCCAGCTTTAACACAGGAAGGGAAAATTCTTCAATCCAACGCTTACAAAATTTTCTGAAAAACTAATGTACCCACCAGGTTTCGAACCTGGGACCTTCCGCGTGTTAGGCGGATGTGATAACCACTACACCATGGGTACACAAGAGCGATGACATTTTCCCTACCTGGTTCAAGTGAAATTGAATTCCTGCAAAGATTCTCTGAAAGTCTCACAGAATGCGAGTTAAGTAAAAAAATGTTCCAAACTTTTGGTGATCCTCCACATAAAATCGTACACAGACCTCATCTTAATCTTCCAGCTTTAACACAGGAAGGGAAAATTCTTCAATCCAACGCTTACAAAATTTTTCTGAATAAATAATGTACCCACCAGGTTTCGAACCTGGGACCTTCCGCGTGTTAGGCGGATGTGATAACCACTACACCATGGGTACACAAGAGCGATGACATTTTCCTACCTGGTTCAAGTGAAATTGAATTCCTGCAAAAGATTCTCTGAAAGTCTCACAGAATGCGAGTTAAAAAAAATGTTCCAAACTTTTGGTGATCCTCCACATAAAATCGTACACAGACCTCATCTTAATCTTCCAGCTTTAACACAGGAAGGGAAAATTCTTCAATCCAACGCTTACAAAATTTTCTGAAAAATAATGTACCCACCAGGTTTCGAACCTGGGACCTTCCGCGTGTTAGGCGGATGTGATAACCACTACACCATGGGTACACAAGAGCGATGACATTTTCCCTACCTGGTTCAAGTGAAATTGAATTCCTGCAAAAGATTCTCTGAAAGTCTCACAGAATGCGAGTTAAATAAAAAATGTTCCAAACTTTTGGTGATCCTCCACATAAAATCGTACACAGACCTCATCTTAATCTTCCAGCTTTAACACAGGAAGGAAAATTCTTCAATCCAACGCTTACAAAATTTTCTGAACAAATAATGTACCCACCAGGTTTCGAACCTGGGACCTTCCGCGTGTTAGGCGGATGTGATAACCACTACACCATGGGTACACAAGAGCGATGACATTTTCCCTACCTGGTTCAAGTGAAATTGAATTCCTGCAAAAGATTCTCTGAAAGTCTTACAGAATGCGAGTTAAATAAAAAATGTTCCAAACTTTTGGTGATCCTCCACATAACATCGTACACAGCCCTCATCTTAATCTTCCAGCTTTAACACAGGAAGGGAAAATTCTTCAATCCAACGCTTACAAAATTTTCTGAAAAAATAATGTACCCACCAGGTTTCGAACCTGGGACCTTCCGCGTGTTAGGCGGATGTGATAACCACTACACCATGGGTACACAAGAGCGATGACATTTTCCCTACCTGGTTCAAGTGAAATTGAATTCCTGCAAAAGATTCTCTGAAAGTCTCACAGAATGCGAGTTAAATACAAAAATGTTCCAAACTTTTGGTGATCCTCCACATAAAATCGTACACAGACCTCATCTTAATCTTCCAGCTTTAACACAGGAAGGGAAAATTCTTCAATCCAACGCTTACAAAATTTTCTGAACAATTAATGTACCCACCAGGTTTCGAACCTGGGACCTTCCGCGTGTTAGTCGAATGTGATAGCCACTACACCATGGGTACACAAGAGCGATGACATTTTCCCTACCTGGTTCAAGTGAAATTGGTATTCTGCATAAGACTCTGAAAGTCTCACAGAATGCAAGTTAAATCAAAATAAGTTCCAAACTTTTGGTGATACTTCACATAAAATCGTACAAAGACCTCATTTTACTCTTCCAGCTTTAACACCGGAAGCAAAAATTCTTCATTCCAACACCCATCAAATTATCTGAAAAACTAATGTACCGACCAGGTTTCGAACATGGGACTATCCGCGTGTTAGGCGGTTGTGATAACCACTACACCATGGGCATAATTTCGAAACTACTTAATAGTTTTAAATATTAAAGGATGATTCATGTGTTTCATCAAAAGCTTATCAATGTCTTTTTTTCTAAAAATTAATTTAAAAAAGTGTGTATTGAGCATGGTTACTGATCATCGTAATCTTGCATTATTAGAAATTCCTCCCTTTTCTATACAAGCTAAAAGTACTTGCCAGAAAAATAGTAAATTGGGAACCCACCTTTTTATCTGTAAAAGTCAGTATAACTACCAGGTTTCAAAGCTCACTTTCTACACTATTTTTTAGCGCATGTCAAAACCTTTACTCATTTGAAATGTGTCAAACAAAAATGTGTTGGATCTTTTTCAATGGACTTAGGATACCGGTGGGAATTTATTCGGTTTTACTATTATATTTCGAATGGATTATTATTGTGGTTGGCATTTACATTACGTGCAGATGGATAAAAATTAAGATTTAGATCTCGCTGAAGGCGTTGAAGACAGCTACATCTCAACCTATGAACAGCTTTTTTGAAATCAAATATCCTGGGTCTTCTCGGCTGATCTTTAAAAGCCTGGTTTGAATGTCTGAGTAATTGAGGATGAATGGATTAATGAAAACTAAATAATATATATGAACCACACACACATTACTGTATTTGGTACGCAAACCGGAAGCTTTCATTGCAAAGTTATTTTCTAAACAATAATCTAATTAGTCGAAAATACACCTAGTGTAATGCTTACACTCTCTCCGACATGAACTCTTTTGCGTTTGAAATGCTCTTCATACATCCAACACTATTTTTCATCACGTGTAACCTTCTCAAGTACTCTTCTAAATCCCCATTGAAATTTTTTTTCGCTTTTCTATATTCTGCAATACTTTGAAGTACCAAACAGAAAATATATTAGTTCTTGCATGACACATTGAAATGAAATTGTTTTATTCAACGTTTGGAAATATACAAAAAAATTATATTCTAAATATTTCGGTTACTTAAACACACATGTGCCCAACATGCTTCAAACCTGCAATCTTAGCGTGTTTGGCAAATGTGATAACCACTACACCATGGGTACACAAGCGCGATGACACTTTCCCTACCTGGTTCAAGTGAAATTGAATTACTGCAAAAGATTCTCTGAAAGTCTCACAGAATGCGAGTAAAATAAAAAAAATTTTCCAAACTTTTGGTTATCCTCCACATAAAATCGTACACAGCCCTCATCTTAATCTTCCAGCTTTAACACAGGAAGGGAAAATTCTTCAATCCAACGCTTACAAAATTTTCTGAAAAACTAATGTACCCACCAGGTTTCGAACCTGGGACCTTCCGCGTGTTAGGCGGATGTGATAACCACTACACCATGGGTACGCAAGAGCAATGACATTTTCCCTACCTGGTTCAAGTGAAATTAAATTCCTGCAAAAGATTCTCTGAAAGTCTCACAAGATGCGAGTTAAATAAAAAATGTTCCAAACTTTTGGTGATCCTCCACATAAAATCGTACACAGACCTCATCTTAATCTTCCAGCTTTAACACAGGAAGGGAAAATTCTTCAATCCAACGCTTACAAAATTTTCTGAACAACTAATGTACCCACCAGGTTTCGAACCTGGGACCTTCAGCGTGTTAGGCGGATGTGATAACCACTACACCATGGGTACACAAGAGCGATGACATTTTCCCTACCTGGTTCAAGTGAAATTGAATTCCTGCAAAAATTCTCTGAAAGTCTCACAGAATGCGAGTTAAATAAAAAATATTCCAAATTTTTGGTGATCCTCCACATAAAATCGTACACAGACCTCATCTTAATCTTCCAGCTTTAACACAGGAAGGGAAAATTCTTCAATCCAACGCTTACAAAATTTTTGAAAAACTAATGTACCCACCAGGTTTCGAACCTGGGAACATTCACGTGTTAGGTGGATGTGATAACCACTACACCATGGGTACACAAGAGCGATGACATTTTCCCTACCTGGTTCAAGTGAAATTGAATTCCTGCAAAAGATTCTCTGAAAGTCTCACAAGAATGCGAGTTAAATACAAAAATGTTCCAAACTTTTGGTGATCCTCCACATAAAATCGTACACAGACCTCATCTTAATCTTCCAGCTTTAACACAAGAAGGGAAAATTCTTCAATCCAACGCTTACAAAATTTTCTGAACAAATAATGTACCCACCAGGTTTCGAACCTGGGACCTTCCGCGTGTTAGGCGGATGTGATAACCACTACACCATGGGTACACAAGAGCGATGACATTTTCCCTACCTGGTTCAATTGAAATTGAATTCCTGCAAAAGATTCTCTGAAAGTCTTACAGAATGCGAATAATATAAAAAAATGTTCCAAACTTTTGGTGATCCTCCACATAACATCGTACACAGACGTCATCTAAACCTTCCAGCTTTAACACAAGAAGGGAAAATTCTTCAATCCAACGCTTACAAAATTTTCTGAACAAATAATGTACCCACCAGGTTTCGAACCTGGGACCTTCCGCGTGTTAGGCGGATGTGATAACCACTACACCATGGGTACACAAGTGCGATGACATTTTCTCTACCTGGTTCAAGTGAAATTGAATTCCTGCAATAGATTCTCTGAAAGTCTCACAGAATGCGAGTTAAATACAAAAATGTTCCAAACTTTTGGTGATCCTCCACATAAAATCGTACACAGACCTCATCTTAATCTTCCAGTTTTAACACAGGAAGGAAAATTTTTAATCCAACGCTTACAAATTTTTTTGAAAAACTAATGTATCCAACAGGTTTCGAACCTGGGAACATTCGCGTGTTAGGTGGATGTGATAACCACTACACCATGGGTACACAAGAGCGATGACATTTTCCCTTCCTGGTTCAAGTGAAATTGAATTCCTGCAAAGATTCTCTGAAAGACTCACAAGATGCGAGTTAAATATAAAAATGTTCCAAACTTTTGGTGATCCTCCACATAAACTCATACACAGACCTCATCTTAATCTTCCAGCTTTAACACAGGAAGGGAAAATTCTTCAATCCAACGCTTACAAAATTTTCTGAACAACTAATGTACCCACCAGGTTTCGAACCTGGGACCTTCCGCGTGTTAGGCGGATGTGATAACCACTACACCATGGGTACACAAGAGCGATGACATTTTCCCTACCTGGTTCAATTGAAATTAAATTCCTGCAAAAGATTCTCTGAAAGTCTTACAGAATGCGAATTAAATAAAAAAATGTTCCAAACTTTTGGTGATCCTCCACATAACATCGTACACAGACGTCATCTAAACCTTCCAGCTTTAACACAAGAAGGGAAATTTCTTCAATCCAACGCTTACAAAATTTTCTGAACAAATAATGTACCCACCAGGTTTCGAACCTGGGACCTTCCGCGTGTTAGGCGGATGTGATAACCACTACACCATGGGTACACAAGAGCGATGACATTTTCCCTACCTGGTTCAAGTGAAATTGAATTCCTGCAAAAGATTCTCTGAAAGTCTCACAGAATGCGAGTTAAATAAAAAAATATTCCAAACTTTTGGTGATCCTCCACATAAAATCGTACACAGACCTCATCTTAATCTTCCAGCTTTAACACAGGAAGGGAAAATTCTTCAATCCAACGCTTACAAAATTTTCTGAAAAATTAATATACCCACCAGGTTTCGAACCTGGGACCTTCCGCGTGTTAGGCGGATGTGATAACCACTACACCATGGGTACGCAAGCGCGATGACATTTTCCCTACCTGGTTCAAGTGAAATTGAATTCCTGCAAAAGATTCTCTGAAAGTCTCACAGAATGCGAGTTAAATACAAAAATGTTCCAAACTTTTGGTGATCCTCCACATAACATCGTACACAGACCTCATCTTAATCTTCCAGCTTTAACACAAGAAGGGAAAATTCTTCAATCCAACGCTTACAAAATTTTCTGAACAAATAATGTACCCACCAGGTTTCGAACCTGGGACCTTCCGCGTGTTAGGCGGATGTGATAACCACTACACCATGGGTACACAAGTGCGATGAATTTTCTCTACCTGGTTCAAGTGAAATTGAATTCCTGCAAAAGATTCTCTGAAAGTCTTACAGAATGCGAGTTAAATAAAAAAATGTTCCAAACTTTTGGTGATCCTCCACATAACATCGTACACAGACCTCATCTTAATCTTCCAGCTTTAACACAGGAAGGGAAAATTCTTCAATCCAACGCTTACAAAATTTTCTGAAAAACTAATGTACCCCCAGGTTTCGAACCTGGGACCTTTCGCGTGTTAGGCGGATGTGTTAACCACTACACCATGGGTATAAATGAGCGATGACATTTTCTCTACCTGGTTCAAGTGAAATTGAATTTCTGCAAAAGATTCTCTGAAAGTCTAAAATAATGCGAGTTTAATACAAAAATGTTCCAAACTTTTGGTTATCCTCCACATAAAATCGTACAGAGACGTCATCTTAATCTTCCAGCTTTAACACAGGAAGGGAAAATTCTCGCTTAAAAATTCCTAAAAAAACTAATCTACCCACCAGGTTTCGAACCTGGGATTCCGCGTGTTAGGCGGATGTGATACCCACTACACCATGGGTACGCAAGAGCGATGACATTTTCCTACCTGGTTCAAGTGAAATTGAATTCCTGCAAAAGATTCTCTGAATTTGATTGATTTATTGAATATTAACGTCGCACTGTTCAGCTACACGAGGGCTTTTGGCGACGGACCACGTAATTTTGAACCATGGTCAAGTGACGTGGACGACTCCTGAGCTGGCACCCCCCTCTCCTAACTATCATACCACACCAAAAGATTCTCTGAAAGTCTCACAGAATGCGAGTTAAATACAAAAATGTTCCAAACTTTTGGTGATCCTCCACAGACCTCAACTTAATCTTCAACACAGGAAGGGAAAATTCTTCAATCCAATGCTTACAAAATTTTCTGAACAATTAATGTACCCACCAGGTTTCGAACCTGGGACCTTCCGCGTGTTAGTCGAATGTGATAGCCACTACACCATGGGTACACAAGAGCGATGACATTTTCCCTACCTGGTTCAAGTGAAATTGATATTCTGCAAAAGACTCTGAAAGTCTCACAGAATGCAAGTTAAATCAAAATAAGTTCCACACTTTTGGTGATACTTCACATAAAATCGTACAAAGACCTCATTTTACTCTTCCAGCTTTAACACCGGAAGCAAAAATTCTTCATTCCAACACCCATCAAATTATCTGAAAAACTAATGTACCGACCAGGTTTCGAACATGGGACTATCCGCGTGTTAGGCGGTTGTGATAACCACTACACCATGGGCATAATTTCGAAACTACTTAATAGTTTTAAATATTAAAGGATGATTCATGTGTTTCATCAAAAGCTTATCAATGTCTTTTTTTCTAAAAATTAATTTAAAAAAGTGTGTATTGAGCATGGTTACTGATCATCGTAATCTTGCATTATTAGAAATTCCTCCCTTTTCTATACAAGCTAAAAGTACTTGCCAGAAAAAAAGTAAATTGGGAACCCACCTTTTTATCTATAAAAGTCAGTATAACTACCAGGTTTCAAAGCTCACTTTCTACACTATTTTTTAGCGCATGTCAAAACCTTTACTCATTTGAAATGTGTCAAACAAAAATGTGTTGGATCTTTTTCAATGGACTTAGGATACCGGTGGGAATTTATTCGGTTTTACTATTATATTTCGAATGGATTATTATTGTGGTTGGCATTTACATTACGTGCAGATGGATAAAAATTAAGATTTAGATCTCGCTGAAGGCGTTGAAGACAGCTTCATCTCAACCTATGAACAGCTTTTTTGAAATCAAATATCCTGGGTCTTCTCGGCTGATCTTTAAAATCCTGGTTTGAATGTCTGAGTAATTGAGGATGAATGGATTAATGAAAACTAAATAATATATATGAACCACACACACATTACTGTATTTGGTACGCAAACCGGAAGCTTTCATTGCAAAGTTATTTTCTAAACAATAATCTAATTAGTCGAAAATACACCTAGTGTAATGCTTACACTCTCTCCGACATGAACTCTTTTGCGTTTGAAATGCTCTTCATACATCCAACACTATTTTTCATCACGTGTAACCTTCTCAAGTACTCTTCTAAATCCCCATTGAAATTTTTTTTCGCTTTTCTATATTCTGCAATACTTTGAAGTACCAAACAGAAAATATATTAGTTCTTGCATGACACATTGAAATGAAATTGTTTTATTCAACGTTTGGAAATATACAAAAAAATTATATTCTAAATATTTCGGTTACTTAAACACATGTGCCCAACATGCTTCAAACCTGCAATCTTAGCGTGTTTGGCACATGTGATAACCACTACACCATGGGTACACAAGCGCGATGACACTTTCCCTACCTGGTTCAAGTGAAATTGAATTACTGCAAAAGATTCTCTGAAAGTCTCACAGAATGCGAGTTAAATAAAAAAAAAAAAAAATTCCAAACTTTTGGTGATCCTCCACATAAAATCGTACACAGACCTCATCTTAATCTTCCAGTTTTAACACAGGAAGGAAAAATTCTTCAATCCAACGCTTACAAAATTTTCTGAAAAACTAATGTACCCACCAGGTTTCGAACCTGGGACCTTCCGCGTGTAGGCGGATGTGATAACCACTACACCATGGGTACACAAGAACAAGGAGAATTTCCCTACCTGGTTCAAGTGAAATTGAAATACTGCAAAAGATTCTCTGAAAGTCTCACAAAATGCGAGTTAAATACAAAAATGTTCCAAACATTTGGTGATCCTCCACAAAAATTCGTACACAGACCTCAACTAAATCTTCCAGCTTTAACACAGGAAGGGAAAATTCTTCAATCCAACGCTTACAAAATTTTCTGAACAACTAATGTACCCACCAGGTTTCGAACCTGGGACCTTCAGCGTGTTAGGCGGATGTGATAACCACTACACCATGGGTACAAAAGAGCGATGACATTTTCCCTACCTGGTTCAAGTGAAATTGAATTTCTGCAAAAGATTCTCTGAAAGTCTAAAAGAATGCGAGTTAAATACACAAATGTTCCAAACTTTCGGTTATCCTCCACATAAAATCGTACACAGACGTCATCTTAATCTTCCAGCTTTAACACAGGAAGGGAAAATTCTTCAATCCAACGCTTACAAAATTTTCTGAAAAACTAATGTACCCACCAGGTTTCGAACCTGGGAACATTCACGTGTTAGGTGGATGTGATAACCACTACACCATGGGTACACAAGAGCGATGACTTTTTCCCTACCTGGTTCAATATAAATTAAATTCCTGCAAAAGTTTCTCTGAAAGTCTCACAGAATGCGAGTTAAATACAAAAATGTTCCAAACTTTTGGTGATCCTCCACATAAAATCGTACACAGACCTCATCTTAATCTTCCAGCTTTAACACAGGAAGGGAAAATTCTTCAATCCAACGCTTACAAAATTTTCTGTAAAACTAATGTACCCACCAGGTTTCGAACCTGGGACGTTCCGCGTGTTAGGCGGATGTGATAACCACTACACCATGGGTACACAAGAGCGATGACATTTTCCCTACCTGGTTCAAGTGAAATTGAATTCCTGCAAAAGATTCTCTGAAAGTCTCACAGAATGCGAGTTAAATACAAAAATGTTCCAAACTTTGGTGATCCTCCACAGACCTCAACTTAATCTTCCAGCTTTAACACAGGAAGGGAAAATTCTTCAATCCAACGCTTACAAAATTTTCTGAACAATTAATGTACCCACCAGGTTTCGAACCTGGGACCTTCCGCGTGTTAGTCGAATGTGATAACCACTACACCATGGGTACACAAGAGCGATGACATTTTCCCTACCTGGTTCAAGTGAAATTGATATTCTGCAAAAGACTGAAAGTCTCACAGAATGCGAGTTAAATCAAAATAAGTTCCAAACTTTTGGTGATACTTCACATAAAATCGTACAAAGTCCTCATTTTACTCTTCCAGCTTTAACACCGGAAGTAAAAATTCTTCAATCCAACACCCATCAAATTATCTGAAAAACTAATGTACCGACCAGGTTTCGAGCATGGGACTATCCGCGTGTTAGGCGGATGTGATAATTTCTACACCATGGGTACAGAAGAAAATGAGACTTTCCCTGTGTGATTCAAGTGAAATTGATTTTCTGCAAAAGACTCTCTGAAAGTCTCACAGAATGCGAGTTAAATAAAAAAAATTCCAAACATTTGGTAATCCTCCACATAAAATAGTACACAGTCTCATCTTACTCTTCCAGCTTTAACACCGGAAGGGAAAATTCTTCATTCCAAAGCCCACCAAATTATCTGAAAAACTAATGTACCCTCTAGGTTTCGAACCTGGGACCTTCCACGTGTTAGGTGGATGTGATAACCACTACACCATGGGCATAATTTCGAAACTACTTAATAGTTTTAAATATTAAAGGTTGATTCATGTGTTTCATCAAAAGCTTATCAATGTCTTTTTTTCTAAAAATTAATTTAAAAAAGCGTGTATTGAGCATGGTTACTGATCATCGTAATCTTGCATTATTAGAAATTCCAGTCTTTTCTATACATGCTAAAAGTACTTGCCAGAAAAATAGTAATTTGGGAACCCACCTTTTTATCTGTAAAAGTCAATATAACTACCAGGTTTTTCAAAGCTCACTTTCTACACTATGTAGGCGCATGTCAAAACCTTTACTCATTTGAAATGTGTCAAACAAAAATGTGTTGGATCTTTTTCAATGGACTTGGGATACCAGTGGGAATTTATTCGGTTTTACTATTATATTTCGAATGGATTATTATTGTGGTTGGCATGTACATTACGTGCAGATGGATAAAAATTAAGATTTAGATCTCGCTGAAGGCGTTGAAGACAGCTTCATCAACCTATGAACAGCTTTTTTGAGATCAAATATCCTGGGTCTTCTCGGCTGATCTTTAAAAGCCTGGTTTGAATGTCTGAGTAATTGAGGATGAATGGATTAATGAAAACTAAATAATATGAACCACACACACACACACATATATTACTGTATTTGGCACGCAAACCGGAAGCTTTCATTGCAAAGTTATTTTCTAAACATTAATCTAATTAGTCGAAAATACACCTAGTGTAATGCTTACACTCTCTCCGACACGAACTCTTTTGCGTTTGAAATGCTCTTCATACATCCAACACTATTTTTCCTCACGTGTAACCTTCTCAAGTACACTTCTAAATCCCCATTGAAAATTTTTTTCGGTCTTCTATATTCTGCAATACTTTGAAGTACCAAACAGAAAATATATTAGTTCTTGCATGACACATTGAAATGAAATTGTTTTATTCAACGTTTGGAAATATACAAAAAAATTATATTCTAAATATTTCGAAAAAAATATTTCGGTTGCTTATAAACATGTGCCCATCATGCTTCAAACCTGCAATCTTAGCGTGTTTGGCAGATGTGATAACCACTACATCATGGGAACACTTATGAAATGGGTTTATCGTAAAGTTGTTCAAAAGCTGTCTTATGTAATTCCTCGAAAACATGTCAATGGCTTTTTTTTACTAAGAATTAATTTTTAAGAGCATGTATAGAGACTGGACATTGACGATCGTTAGCTTGCCTTATCAAATATTCCACCCTATCTTTAAATTCTAAAAGTACTTACGAGAGAATATTAGTACATCCAGATTTCACCTCATTATCAGTAAAAGTCAACGTACCCGCCATGTTTCGAACCTGGGACCTTCCGCGTGTAAAGCGAATGTGTTAACCATTACATCATTGGTACACAGGTAGGATTGTCTTAGTATTTTTCGATAGAAAATAACTTTTAATTATCTTTTTCGTGTTTCAAGAATGTATTGTAAATCAGAAGACTTGCCAATGAAGGAGAATGAAGAACTTATCGACATGTCAACAGATTCTTTGTTAAAGTGTAAATTTAAGCAGGAAGAGCTCCTAAATTTTAAACTGTAATTTTGCTAATTACACAGAAAATTCTCACGCCCAAAAAAATAAGCATTTTTTATGACATTTCAACAATGCATTTAAGTTAAAAATATTTTTTTCAAGGTATATAGCAATAAAAACAAAATATAAGGGAAAATTAACATAATATATGAAATGTACGAACTGACAGCTTTAATACACCTAGACTTTCATAGTTTGCGTAAAATAATGTAAATACGAATTCCAATTATTGAATAAAAAGCAATGGTAAAAGACCATTGAAGTCCGAATTAGTGAGTAAATTACATTAATATCATTTTTAAAAAATTTAGTAAAAAATACAGTTTTTTTTAATTGTCTTTACTTAACGTACCTATAACGTGTTCATTTACTTCATATATTATCTTGAGACTTATTCTTCTAAGGCTTTTTTTATGGGGCTTCTCCAAAGCATCTTGTAATTATAAGGGTTCAATGAGTCGACAAAGTTTGAAGACTAGGTCATTTAAAATGTTACCTTTTTCCACAAATACGAGAGGAGATTGATAAGTAAGGTCTCCAATAGAAAAAATAAGTTTTCGACAAGGTAAAATAATAACTGAGGTACCAGAATGAAGTAAGTGTGTTACTCTTACATACAGTAAACTCATTTCTCAACATAGACACCACTAACAGTTTCACGCTTGTTCAATCGTGCTATCCATTTCTTCCTTCTGTCCATGTACAAAGATTCTGTTTCGCTGCTCATGCATTAGCTCACAGCTGCCTAAACTTCGGCATACGTTGACCTTTCAACGTCTCCTTCAATTTTGGGAATAACCAAAAGTCCGACGGTGCCAAATCTGAGCAGAAAGGAGGCTGTGGAACCACTGCGAATTTCAGTTTTCCCATGACATCCTCTGTTTGTGCACTGTAATGCGATCTTGCATTGTCGTGCTGCAAAAGAAAGACGTTTTTTTCCGGTATGATTCTTCGAATGCGTTGCCTAAGGGAACGTAATGTTGCACAGTACCTCTCTGTCGGATTTCACCATCAATCCTTTAGTCAGAAATTCCGTGTAGAGCACACCACTTGCATCCCAAAAAGATAGTGAACATGACTTTTTTTGCTGACATTAAAGATTTGAATTTCTTGACACTTGGAGAGCTAGGATGACGATATTCCCTGTTATCTGGGTTATAATGATGAATCCAGGATGTCAAAGTTCAGGTATCCGGGCACAAATGTATATGCAGCCAAACCAGAATCTTTCTTCATGTACGGAATGAAGAAATGGGTAGAACGATCGAACAAATGCGAAACTGTTAGTGGCGACTATGTTGAGAAATGAGTTTACAATATATAAGAATAATAAATTTCCTTCATTCTCTGATACTCCGTTGTTATTTTACCTTGCAGGAAACTTATATATATATACTATTTTTTATTTTATACTATTTTATTTTATTGGAGACTTTACTTATCAATCTCACCCCTAGTATTTACCAATTGCATTCATTTCTTTTCTATGTGTTATATAGACATAGAGTGACAATGACCAAATGTTTCTAAATATGCATTTATTAAGAACAAGTATTTACATGTATGGCTACAAAGTTAAGGAAATAAATAGAAACATCATGAAAAATGAGACATTGAATTATATTAATCTATCATCTCATCACTTATATAGGTCTGATTTCTCGTCTTTATCCTGCGCTACCTTCCGACCTCCTCGTCTGAATCAAGGGGCACCCTCATGGACTAATACGTCATTGTGAATCGTACTGCTTAATAATCGGGTAGATAAACCACAACGCTCACTGTTGTTCTACCGTTTCGTTCTACCGCAATTACTGCTTGCTGCTGTAGAACGAAACATTCAACGCTTGCGCACACTGTATCTTGTTGATTGTTGGTCCAGTGACTCCATGACAGCCGAGTTGTGTGTTTTTTTCACACGTGTTCGTCAGCATTCAAAGTGTTTAAAATAATTGCTGTGAATTTGGTTCTGCAATCCATTTTTGAAGGCTTTTTAAGCCACTTGAAATCCATCGTCAACTTATAGAGATTAATGGTGAAAATTGTGACGAATCTGTACAGAACCTTTCCACTAATCTTCTTAGTTGTCTTTTTGGGGAATATAAATTCGCATTTATTTCCAATCAACTCCACAAAGATGTACGGGATATTTAAATTAGATAAGGTATTTAAGTCGAGCGTTGCGATATAGCAAGAGAGATGATGGAAGGCTATATTGAGCTAGTAACTTTAAACGCATTACTAAAAGATTCTAGGAGATTAGATTCGTGAAGACGTC